GGGAAAGGAGAGAGACTGAATACAGGGAAATCAGTTATGCTGTTGAAGTAGTCCAAGTGAGAAATAAGAAGGCCTGAAATAGAATACTAACTATGTATGGAAGCAAGAGATGTCAAAGAATAAACAAAATTTAGCAATTAACAGAATAATTTGGAGTAATAGGGAAGAGTCAAAGATAGCTACTAGGTTTTGAATCTTAATGACTGGGAAAGATGGTAGTGCTGTAAGTAAAAGAGATTTTTGGAGGAGAGGAGTAACTTAGTGGTTGAGAGAAGAAAGTGAATTTTGTTCTAGATCTGTTGAGGTTGAGATGTCTGTGGGACATCTAGTTGGAAATGCTTACCTCACAGTTGGTGCTACAGCACTAGAGCTCAGGAAAGAGCCTAAAGCTGGATTTATAGTTATCTGCATGCATTGCAAGGGGTTAAAGTGAGAGGAGGAAGGGAGCTAATGAGTGTAGGTATTTTTTTATCTAAGAGTTTAAGTGTGAGTGGACAGATGTAGAGTAGTAATTTAAGGATTAAGTATATGGTTAAGTGAAGATTTTTAAAAATTTTTATTTAAAAAATTTATTTTTAGTTTTCAGCATTCACTTCCATAAGAATTTGAGTTTTAAATTTTCTCCCCCTTCCACTTCTCCCCCTCCCCTCCCCAGATGGTGTGCAATCTAATACAGACTCTACTTATGCATTCATATTAAGCATATTTTCACATCAATCATGATGTAAAGAACAATTAGGACTAATTGGGAGGAACCAGGAGAAAGAAGAATCAGAATAAAACAATGAAAGAAAAGGAGAACAAATAGTATGCTTCCATGTGCATTCAGATTCCACAGTTCTTTCTCTGGATGTGGATAGCTTTTTCCATTGTGAGTCTTTTGGAGTTGTCTTAGATCCTTGCAGTGCTGAGAAGAGCTAAGTCTGTTAATCAGTCATCACACAGTATGGCTGTTACTGTGTACAGTGTTCTCCTGGTTCTGCTCACTTCACTTAGCATCAGTTCATATAAGTCTTTCCAGGTTTTTCTGAAGTTGGCCTGCTTATCATTTCTTATAGCACAATAGTATTCCATTACATTCGTATACCACAACTTGTTCAGCCATTCCCCAATTGATGGGCATCCCCTCAGTTTCCAATTCTTTGCCACCACAAAAGAGCTGCTATAAATATTTTTGTACATGTGGGTCCTTTTCCTATTTTTATGATCTCTTTGGGATACAGACCTAGAAGTGGTATTGTGGGGACAAAGGATATGCACAATTTTATAGCCCTTTGGGCATAGCCCCAAATTGCTCTCCAGAATATTTGGATCATTTTACAACTCCATCAACAATGTATTAATGTTCCAATTTTCCCACATCTTCTCCAACATTTATCATTGTCCTGTTTTGTCATGTTAGCCAGTCTGATAGGTGTCATTTTGATTTGCATTTCTCTAATCAGTAGTGATTTAGAACATTTTTTCATATGACTATAGATAGCTTAATTTCTTCCTCTGAGAACTGGCTGTTCATATCCTTTGACCATTTATCAATTGGGGAATGAAGATTTCTTTTAAAGAATGGGGGAGAACTAGGCATACTTGTAAGTAGCAGAGAAGGAACCAGAAGAAGAGATTAAAGACAGTTTGGGGGTGAATTTCTGGAAATGAGACAGAATGGGATCAAGGACATGGAAAAGAGCCACTTCTCCATCAGACACTGGAGTAAAAGAGAGGGAAATTGGGGATGATGTTAAGGGGTGTTTAGGTGTGAAGCATGGGAGAAGAGGGAAATCTTGGCAAATGCTCTCTATTTTTTGAGCAAAATATGAGGCAATAGCCTCTATTGAGGAAGATGGGGGAAGAGGAGAAAAAGGTCTTGTGGGAAGCTTGAGAATAAAAGAGGGTTTAGATCTGTAGCTATGGGGAGTGAGACAGTGAGTAATTGCCTTTTTTAGTGGATAAGAGTTTTTTAAAATAAATTGGTAATTTGTCACTGGGCTAACCTAGGACACTCTCTCTACATTTTTCATATAAAACATTAAAAAAATTATAGCGCTCATTGTTACATATCGTTATCATCAGATTCATCATCTGCGTTTAAAGACTCCTTTGCATATTTCTCTTTGGTTACTTTTTGAACCAACTGAACTCCAGTTCAAAAGCTTTGTCCTTAACTTTGTCATGTAGAATCTCTGTTATTTTTGCTCTTTTTAAAACAGCATCACGTGTGTTTTTTTTTTTAATCTGGAGTTTCTGACATTTTTTTCTGCTTCCTTAGTTTTGCCAGTGTCACACATTCCATTGTGTGGTACATATGGCAAAATGGTACATTTTGCGTTATCTGAAACATGCAATTGCTCAGTTACCTAGAGTTATGTTCCTTCATTCACATGATAAGATCCTAACATGAACGTGCAACTAGAATGTCTGACAGCTGAGTGTGTGAGCATTTACACATAGGGTTACTCTGTGAAGTGTTTTGGTAGAATACCATAGCCATAGTTAGGTCTGAAGATGGAGGCTTCTTTCGCTTTGTTTGCTAGCAAACCTACTACTGCCAGTCCTACATGTTGATCAATGTTAAAAAAGCATTTGTTAGAAACTTCATAAAGTTTAGAAACTTTTCTATGCCAAAAATGACACTATCTTTCCATCTGATTCTGATAATTGTGCTTTCATAGCATATATTCCATTTGAAAAGCTCCTCCATTAGGAGAGAAAGTTGAAGCCAAGAGGTCATGTCTTTTCCTCTGGTATTCCAGGTGCTTATGTTATGAAGAGGTCTCTTCAGGGCCTAACGTCACAGTTTAATCACATGATCCAATGATGTCATTAGGAACATTCTTATACTTTGGTTCTTTGTCTTTTTTTCTTTCTTTCTTTCTTTTGTGGACAAAGTATCCTCTGTTTTAGTCTTTCCATTCATGACTGTTTTTTTCCCAGGCTTGTTCCTCACAGGAGGACAATGGAGTCTTTGCTTGGAAGAATTTCTAAATTTCTCCATATGAATTACAGACTAGACAGAGGTGACAGTTGAGGGAACTACACTAAGATTCTAGTGTTGGAGAGAAAAAGCATCGATTTATCAAAATAGGATGTCTCCAGTTTTTTAACTCCCTTTTATACCTTGTTTTGCTCCATTAGAATGTAAGCTCATTGGGTCAGGCACTGACTTTTCTTTTTGCTTATATATGTATTTCCAACTTTTACCACAGTGCCTGGTAAGTACTTCACAAATGCTTGTAGCTTGCCTCACTCGCCTATATATGCATTCATTTGCTAGGAAGCAATAACATTTCATTTACATTCACAGATGAAGGCTGGCACTTGCAGTTACAAGACTCCTAAACAGAACACATTTACTTATGCATTTTGTCAGCATGGGTGTTTTACAGAGACTGGAAGTTATGGAATGAATTGTAGCAGTCACAGTTTTGTTGACCTGACTGTACCTATGCTATAATCCTTCTGTTGTTACTGGTCTTGTTTTGTTTTGTTTTGTTTTCTGTTGATTTATCTGTTTATGTTCAAGGTATTTGAACTTACTTCATTCTAGAATTTTTGGTACTTTCTCTCCCTACCCCTTCCCCTCTTATTTTCCTTATCACTCAGGTCTGTCTCCCTTCCTCTGTTTGTCATTTCTTTGGAGGTTAGATTTCAAAGTGTGTCAGCCTTTTCCCAGACTTTGCAATTTGTGGTTCACCAGCATACATCTTTGCCCCAGCTGACTTTTGGGTGGTCAAAACTGGCCCTACCTGGATGCCATGTTCACAGTTCCCTACATGCATGCATAGTGTCGTGTCCTGGTGACCTGTCCCACTCTCTCTGTTACTTAGCTCTTTGACCTCACATTGGAAGTTCAGAGCCTTCTGGCACCAGCAGTTCAGAGCCTGCTTTTCCAGGTATTGGCAGTTCAGAGCTACCAGGAGTTCAGAGCTTTGCAGCATTGGTACTTCCAGATTATAGCCACCAGCAGGCTTTTGCTTCTGAAGTGATATGGACAAGCTGGCCACAAAGGCCTGAAGAAGCTTCTACAACCTGAAGCCAGGTTGTTCATGACACTGGAAAGAGGAAGGGCGAACCACGTTGTAGTGGTGGGTTTTGATGTAAGCCTGTGACTTGTCCTCGAGTCTGCAAGTGTAGCCTTACTGCTGGCAGAATGGGAGGTGGGGGAGAGGTGCTGAGTGAGCTAAGGGTCAATGAGTATCAGTTTCTGGGGCTTGTTTTTTCTTGTTTTTATTTTTGTTTTTTGTTTTTCAGCCTTCTTTTGGATCATTGTCTTAGACCTTGGAAACTGTTAAAGTTGCTTTGTCTTTGGCATGTAGTTTCTGTTTTGGGGAGGTTGTGAGGATTGGAAAAAATGTGTAGTCCACCATCTTGTTGCTCATGTGACCTAGCAATGGTGATGTCTTTACCAGAACTAGAGATGGCTGGAAGAGGCCTGGATTTGGGAGGGACAGATAATGACATCTGTTTTGGACATGTTAAGTTTGAGATGTCTCAGGAACATCATTTATTGTACCATTAATTTAAAATTGGGAGGGACCTTCAACAATAGGTATTCTGCTCCCTCTCTCCCCCCTCCCCCTAATCGTACAGATAAAGTTACTGGAGCCCAAAGAGTTGAAGGGATTTCCCCACAGCCACACAAGTAAAGCTGTGGTCTGAATCTAAGTCCCTGACTCCAAATATTTCTATTATATTCTGCTTCTTCAGATAATGCACAGTGGTTCTGAGGAAGAGCTTGAGGGATGCTTTGAGCAAAGTGGGGTTTTTTGGACTTAGTGGCATGAATTTTGGCAGTTTAGAAGCATTTTTGCTTACATATAGGTTTTTGGTTCATGTTCTGGATAAGTGAGATATGAAATGTTTAGAAATGTAGTTTTGCGAAACTTAGTTTAACATGAAGTTGACCAATATGGTTCTACTCCTTTGTTAATGACATAGTTTTGTTACTTTCTACGTAATTGTAATTTTCCATCCCTGTCTCTTCCCCCCCCCCCCCCCGACCATAGGTTACTCCTTTGTATGAAGATTGGACAGCTATTGATTGGTACCGCTTTTTCTGTCTATGGGAGAAATTGCCCATCTCCCTGAAGAGGGTGGCAGAACTAGTGGGAATTGAAGAAGGTTTCTTGGCCCGTTCTGTAAAAGGAAGAATCATAGCCAAAACTGAGAAACAGCACCGACAAATGGCCATCCATAAAAGGTAGTGGTATTTTTATCATCATAAGTCTCTTATTATCCAAGGATAGATAGCATTTTGGTTTCTTTGTAGCAAATCTCATTTTGAATTTCTGCTTTCTGAACTTCCTTGTTGTTACAAATAAATTTCTCTTGAATTTGACTTATGCATTTCAGCAAGATCTGGAAGGGACGGCTTTTTTTTTTTTTACAAGAAGAGGGAAATTACTCAAAGGCTTAGTCTTGGGAAGCTGGACATTTTAGCTTTTCCGACCTTGATAAATGTGATTGAGTTTGGTTTCATATTCCTTAAACATCATGTATTCCATATTAAAATGTAACTCCAAAAATTAATTCCAAATTTAACTATAAGTATGAGCTTAGGCTGCATGCTATTGTGGGTTATTTGTGCCATTCTTTACTTTTTTTGTACAGATGATAAAAATCTTACTTGGTTTTGACATAGAATTTTTAATCCAAGTGCAAATATAGCTTTCTTATAACAAATTCTGAGAACTGTCTAGATTCTTTTATTGATTTGAAATTTTTAAAATGATATATTCCTTTGTAATATTTCTATAATTAATAGTTTAAAGTTGGAAATCTTTTTTTATACAGATTTAGTTTCAATGATTAGACAGTTTAAATAAAGCATTTTGTAAGCATTATTTTCTTTCTCTTTAGCCATTCTTCTGTTTAGTATTAGTCCCAGATTTGAGAGATTAACTTAAATTCATTATTTACAGTTCTTTACAGCATTTGTAAATAGCTTGGATTTTAATACTGGAAGAATCGGATATCTGAGCATCTTTGGCCCTTATATATATTATATGTCCCATAAAGCAGGGATCAAATGAATCAATAAATAATTTCATGCTATTGTGATAAAATAAAGCACTTTGCAAACATAAATTGATATACAAATGTATATATCACACATGAATATTTTTTCCACATTTTCATATAGTGTTTCTCTTTACAGATTTTTCACTAGCCTTGTACTATTAGATTTAATCAGTGAAGTTCCCTTGAAGGATATTATTCAGAAATATGGTTGTAATCGTGGACAGATTCAGTCTTTACAACAATCAGCTGCAACTTATGCAGGTGAGTTAGAGAAATGGAGAGGGTTTTGCAAACCTTGAAGTTCTATATAAGTAGAATGAATATATAATTAAAAATAAATATATATGAACAATTTTATATAAATATTTCAACATCAAGTTCTATACAAATAGTTATTATTTCTAGGTCATTTTATTGCTACATTTGAGTATTGTTTTCTTATAAAGAGTATCTTCTGCATCTGTTGATATCACCATGTGGTTTTTGATGTCTTTAGTATAATCAATTATGTTGATTGTTTTCCTGGTATTGAATTATCCATACTTTCATTCCTGACATAAATGCAACTTGGTCATTATGAATGATTTCTTAGATGAAGTGCTGTAGTAAGTTTGACAGGATTTTATTTCAAAAATTTGAATTGCCATTCATTAATAATGTTGGTCTGTAGTTCTTTATTTTATTATTCCCTGATTTAGGTATCAGGGCTGATTTTTTTTTGTTAGGATCTTTTTGTTGTTAATTTTGAAAATATACCCTAAATCTGTTTTGTTTTTTTTTTTTCAAAGAGTTTCTTCTTTCAAGGAATTGGTTCCTGTGGGCCTAAAGTTTCTTTGCACTGACTGATTCTTTTATTTAGAGAGGTTAGCTGTTGGAGGAGGGGCAGCTTTTCCCTCAGGCAGCTTCAGTTACCTTCAGATGTTTATTTAGCAACTGGTCTGTACATACCCCTGTTCTGAGTTTAATATAAAGTTTACAGAATTTATAGTTTAGTGGAGGACCAGTATACTTCCACAGAGAGTACACAGTGATGTGTGATAAGTGCGTTGGATAAATTCTAACACAGAATTGCTTGAGGCATGAAGAGGAAAAGGGCATTTATTACCAACAGAATTCTGGGACCTGGAAGTCCCATTAAGAATCCCATTCTGTTTTGTTCCCCATGGACTTAACATTTTTAGATTCTTTCTGTTGCTTCTCTAGGGAGAGAAAGAATACCCTATTGTGCATTGAAAGATGTGTATTTTTACATATGTAGGCTTTTTTTAAAATGAAAGACTGGAAGAAAAGATGGAATTGTGCATAACTAGAGTGGGTAATAGAGTTAAGTTTTTGAAGAAGGAAAGAAGAGATTAGTGGAGAAGGAAATATTGAAGGTGCTAAAGGAGCAGAATGATTATTATAGGATCAAGTTTTCTAGAAGGGATAGAAAGGGCACTTATTGCAAGTACTGAGCGATACTTGAAAGTGGTGTTGAATATATAACCTGTATAGCTTAATTCCATGTGAGATAGGAAACAGTATCCTTTAAAAATGTTATTCCCTTGAGGAATAGTTAACCTAAACAGCTCTTCTCCATCCTAATATGATTCTGTGTTTCTCAGGAAACATAAAAATGAGGTCCCTGAAATTACGTCAGTGTTAGAATAATGCCAGATTTTCTTCTTCAAGAATGTACCACAAGTTTCAGAAGTTGCTGAGCTCTATTTTAGAATTAGTTTGTCAATATGTAATTATTGAGTGCTTATTTTGTGGCAGGCACTGTGCTGAATGCTGGGGGTGTAAAGAAAGATACAGTCTCTGTTCTCAAGGAGTTCACAGTCTAATGAGGGAGACAAGATTCAAACAACTATGTACATGCAATTCATATACAAAATAAATTGGAGATAATCAACAGAGAGAAGGCCCTGATATTAAAGGGTGGGGGGAGATCAGGAAAAACTCCTTGTAGAAGGTGAGATTTCATCTGCTACTTGAAGCAAGCCAGGAGGAGGAGATGAAAAGGGAGAGAAACTCCAGATACAGAGGTGAGCAAAGCCATTGAAAATGCCTTCGGTTTTGGACATTTGGTATTTAAGATGTCCATAGGACATTCAATTCTAGATGTCATGTAGGCAGTTGGAGGTGAGAGTCTGCAGGTTAAAAGAGAGATTAGGGCTAGATAAGTTGATTTGAGAATCATCTGCATAGAGATGATAATTGAATCCGTTGGAGCTGATGAGATCACAAAGTGAAGTAGTATAGAAGAGATGTCCCAGGACAGAGCCCAGGGGGACACCTAAGGTTAGGAGGAGTGACTGAAGATCTAACTGTCTTATATTGTAAGCATTTTCAGGGTAGAGAAGCTCCATTTTTGTAAGCCTAGCATCTGAGGTACTTTCTTGTATATAATAGGTCCTTAATAAATATATGTTGAGTTTAATGTAATTCTTTTATGTGTCCTTCATTCATTGCTACAGTTGTGGTACTTTCTGAAATTATTGCTATGTTAAAATAATACCAAATACAAAAACTCAAAATATTGTCTACTTCTAAATTTTACAGGTAAGCTTATTTTGTGAGAGGGAGTGTGGCTTTAGTGTATGGTGAACTGGCCTTGGGGCCAGGAAAACATGAGTTCTCTAATACCTTTGCCTTAACCCCAAATGGATTTATGACCCTTGGCAAGTCACTTAACAACTCTGAGTTCACTAGGAAACTCTCTAAGACTATAATTTGCAGAAAAGGTGGCAACCTGCATTCTTCACTGGGGAATTTCCTAGATGAATGAGATTACAGGTCCAATCCCTATCCCTTTGCTTAAGTTGTTATTTTAACTTTTACTTTTAAAAAACTAACAACTATTTATTTTCACTTGTTCCCCCTCCTCCCCTCCTTGAATAGAAGAAAAGTAGAACGCTTTTCTTTTTGAGGCAATCAAGGTTAAGTGACTTGCCCAGCATCACACAGCTCAGAAGTGTCAAGTGTCTGAGGACAGATTTGAACTCAGGTCCTTCTGATTTAAAGGCTGGTGCTCTATCCACTGTACTACCTAGCTGTCTCAGAACACTGTTAACAAACATGCTTAGTCAAGCAAAATAAATTCCCAAATTGGCCATGTCCAAAAATATATGTTTCATTCTGTTTCTTGAATCCATCACATCTGTCTTACGAGATGGAAGTTATGCTTCATCTTTAATTGTCAGGAATTTTGGTTTATCATTGCATTGATCAGCTCTGAAGTCTTTTAAAGTTATTTGTTTTTACAGTTTGTTATTGTATAGATTTTTCTCCTAGTTCTGCTCACTTCACTGTGCTTTGGTTCACATAAGCCTTCCCAGGTTTCTCTGTGACAGTCCCTTACATCATTTCTTATGGTGCATTTATGTACCGTTACACTTATATACCATAATTTGTTTAGCCATTCTCCATGTGATAAATACTTCCTTAGTTTTCAGTTCTTTGGCCTTACAAAGAGTTGCTATAAGTAATTTTGTACATATGGGTCTTTTTCCTTTTTTAAAATCTTTCGGGGTATAGGCCTAGCAGTAATATTACTAGGACAAGGCTATTGTTTAGTGATATTCTGGGTATGTTCCAAATTACTTTTCGGAGTGGTGGTACCAGTTCACAACTCTGTCAATAAATAGTACATTAATATGCCTGTTTTTCCTTCAGCCCTTCCAGCTTTTGTCACTTTTCTTTTTTTTGGTCATCTTTGCCAATCTGATGTGTGTGGGTGGCAGTTGACTGATTATTAGAGGTTTAGCGCATTTTTTTCACTGTTAAGAGCTTACTTTGCTGGCTTTTGTTGCTGTTCTTTGCTCTGGTATTTTGCCCCTTGGACCTCTCCCCATGTTCCTATGCTGGATGACTTTGTATATTCCTGGCTAGATCCTCGCAACAGACCTTTAGCTATCTCCTGCCAAACTGAGCTGGGCAAATGACCCATTGTTTTTTCTTCCATGGATTTTCTGTTCACTTTTCAGTCTAGTGCCCTTCCTTAACCTTTATTGGAATAATCATGGGAAAGAGCTGGACTATACTGCTTCCTTATACTCTATCATCTTTGCTGGTTTCCCTATGTAAAATTTGTAGTGTTGTTTATCTAGATATGTAATAGCTAATGTTCTGGCGGGTTGTGGACAACATTATCTATAGAAGTATAAAATTAAGTCTGTAAAAGATTTTAATTTAAATCTTTGTTGTTATAAATATTCCAGGGATGATAACCGTGTTTTCTAATCGTCTTGGCTGGCACAACATGGAACAACTGCTTTCTCAATTTCAGAAACGTCTTACATTCGGTGTCCAGAGGGAGCTGTGTGACTTAGTTCGGGTGTCTTTACTGAATGCACAGAGGGCCAGAGCTCTTTATACTGCTGGCTTTTTAACAGTGGCTGATCTTGCCCGAGGAAGTATTGCTGAGGTGGAAGCTGTTCTGAAAAATTCTTTACCATTCAGAAGGTGAGAAAAATCTTCAACTCAGACTATTCCCTAAGCAGTGATAAACCCTGAAAAGAACTCTCAATTAATTTTTAAACAATGAATGCAGATACATATATAAGCATTATAGTGTATTATAGGGAGTCTTATAGCATATTGAAGCCATGAAAAATATGCCAAGCTGCTCATGCTGGCAATTTCTGGCATCCAGAAATACAAGCTCACATATAATTTTAAAATTGCGTAATTACAGAGAGGGTCATAAACTAGATTATAGGCTTTTCTTTACATAAGAACAATGCCAAGGAATTGATCTTGGGCAGAAGAGTGATGAAATTAAGGCAGCTTTTCTTTCTCAGTTTGAGAATTGCTGACAGTACATGTGAAAAATATACTTTTTTCGCAGGTTTGCATCCTTATAAACACACACAGTTCAGATTGATCATTGGGCATTAGTTAGAGGGTGCTAAGAATCCAATTTTTCTTTTTCATGTTAAATATTGAAGTACACATAGGTATTTAGTTAGGAAGGAAGATGGTAAGGATAGAGAACTGTGTTAACAAGTACTTGGAGGACACCTATGGTTATTAGCAAGTGAGATCTGGATAAAAATCTAGGGAATGAGCCTGAGAAGGAGTGGTCAGATATGTAGGAGGAGAACCAGGAGAAAATAGTGTAATGAAAACCTAGGGAGAGGAGAATATCAAGAAGAAAGGGGTGCTCAACAGTGTCAGAGGCTGCAGAGAAGTCAAGAAAGATGAAGCTTTGGATAAAGCCATATAGATTTGGCAATTAAGAGATCTTTGGTAATTTTAGAGAAAACAATTTCAGTTAACTACAAAGAGTTAAAAAGAGAGTGAGAGGAAATAAGGTGGAGGCATCAACTGCAGACAGCTTTCCCAAGGAACTTAGTTACAAAAGGGAGGAGAGATTATAGTATAATAACTAGCAGGGGTAGGGCATCAACTGAGGGTTTCTTAAGGATAGGAAGGCATGAGAATGTTTATTGGCAGTAAGGAAAGAACCAGAAAGCAGGGGAGGGATTTCTTGGTTTGGTTCTTGATACATATCATGACTAGTAATCACTGGTGTTCCCCAGGGCTCTGTCTTGGGCACTAGTTGAGATGTTTAATAGATTGTCATTGTCTTTTCTTCAAAATCATTGTTACCCTCTTTGCAAATGAGGAGTTGAAAAGAACACAGACATCAAATGCATGAACATTATATTTATATACCAGCTATACCTAGATTCTTGAACAAAAGAGTGAATGTAGCATTTATTAAGCACTACCGTGTGCAGCATACTGTGCTGAGTTCTGGCAATACAAAGATAAAAGTAAAATGGTCCCTCTTCTCAAGGAGCTCCCATTCTAATGAAGAAGATGATGCATGTCATTTAAGGTTTAAGGAAGGTTTAAGTTTAAGTTGTGTAGAAAGATCCCATGGTCCTTAGGGAACAACAATAAAGCAGATGACACTGCCTTTGTAAGTGCCAAGGACTTCAGTGGCAGAACTTTCTGTCCTGGGTCTTCAGTAGCTGTGGCTGTAGCGTCTGCCACAGCAGTTGTCGGGCTGCATCTTCCCAGGATGATGGCTATGAGAACTGGGCTGGAAGCAGGACTGGTGGTCTGGAGGGTGCTGCCATTCCCAAGGGTCTTGTGCCTGTCATATCGGTTGTTTCCAGAGAGCTCCTATTTTTCTTGTTTTTTAATCTTTTTCTGAAACGCACATGCTTAGGTAACGCTATTATTATTCATACTACCATTCATTAGCATGAAAAACAAATGCTTTGTTGATAAAGAGCATTCCTTTGACTTCCAGGATCTGTGACTGATGTGGGTACTCTTTGTAGCAGTACAGTTAAAAACTGTGTCATGTTTAGTGGGTAGATAGTGTTCATTAGTTATAGCCCTCCCCCCAAAATTAATCACCTGCTGGCTTTGCTTTCTTGTGAGAAAACTTTCTTACTGTTTATAAATGCTAAATGTATTTGGAATATTTTTTTAAAGTTGTATATGCCAGAATACACTATATAAATTTTTTTTCTGATTTCATTTAAAGATAAAAAGATATGTTAAACAGTGTGTATGTTATCTTGGTTAAATATATTATTGGCCCTTCAAGAAAGTTTCTTTATTCTTCATTTCTTCCTCAGTGTCCGCAAGGCAGTAGATGAAGAAGAGGAAGCAGCGGAGGAACGTCGGAATATTCAAACTATCTGGATAGCTGGGAGAAAGGGTTTAACTGAAAGGGAAGCAGCAGTTCTTATTGTGAAGGAAGCCAAAATGATTTTGCAGCAGGAGTTAGCAGAAATGGGAGTGCAGTGGAATCCAGACTCTTTTTTAAACTCTGAAACCTGTTCATCAAGCAGCAGTGAATCAGAAGTGGAGGACCTAAAATCTAGGCATCATGCCAAAAGCTTATTTAAAAGACCCAAAGTATTAAAAAGAGAAACCAGAATTCCTTTTGGTGAGTCTCTTACTAAGAATACACCCAATACCGTACAAAATTCTTATACGGACAAAATGCCTGCGGACACTTCAAATTACACCCTACAAGATGGAAATCAAGAACATCAGTTACATGTTGAAATGAAAAGTGATGAGTTTATTCCTAGAGCAAAAAGATTCCCATTTTTGGATACAAGTAAAGATAAGATTGTCACTACTGCGAATAAAAGAAAGACAGGCATTGAGAAAATTCCTAAAACATTCTCTGATGAAAAAAGGAAAAGATCAACTTTAAATTTCTGTTCCAAAAAACTGTTCAAAACACCTCAGTATCAGAATCAAAGCAAGCATGAAAACCAATCTGAAGTTAGATGCAATGTCAAAGACTCTAGGACACACAGAATTGGTTCACCAAATATTACTATGTTCAGCTTTGGTACTGTTAAAGATTTACTCACTTCAGATGAAAAGAGTACAGAATTTCAAAATCCAGGGTCTTCTGCTCAAAATGACTCTTTGGGCAGTAACGTCAAATATTTCAAACACAAAACACCACACCTTCCACGAACAGAGGAAAGTTGTTCAAGGAACAAAATAACCAAAGACTCTATTTTAGAAGATTTCATCAGAGAATCTCAAACAGAAGATAATTCTGGCCAAGCCCCAGGATTGCTGGGAATAATGTAGTGGGGGAAGCCAAGCCAAACATAGAAATAACGACTGTTTTGATGGATAATAATCATATGAAAAATCAGAGAGTTTATAGGGAGCACATCAATGCCAATCCAATTATAAATTGCCCTGAAAAGAGACCGGTTGCATATACAAAAGTCTGTGTCAAAGAGGAAGTGTTGTTAGGCAGAGAACCACACAGGGAAACAGGTTCCAGTTTTACAAACACAGATAAAAATGTTGCTGTTAGCAAATGGGAAGGTGGAGAGTCTACTGCTGATGAAAATAACCCCAGACATTTTCAGCCACCAGAAAACAACATAAGCAGACCCAAGGTGGCCAATGGAATATCATTACAAGGTGGAGCTGTGGATAAAGGAGACTTGGATGAAAATGATCCAAAGGCCTCTGGAGTGAAAAAAAAAGCAGGTGCTTATGTTGCAAGTGAAACTAAAAATAATCAGTCTTCTGACTTAGGCTTAGGCCTTAGGGACTTTGATGATAGTTTCCACCTGGATACTGAGACGGAGAAAATAATACAACAGATGGCAGCTGAAACTGCAAAACAAGAAGGAGCAAAGGACATAAACCTAGCAACAATGTTGACCCAGAAGAGCTCAAGAAGACAAGGCTCTGTTAGCATTTCACAAAATGAAAATAGTATTTATGTCAATCAAGGATCAACCGTAGGAATGAGAAAAATGGATCACTCAAGTCTTAAGATTGTAGATACTGAGAAACTCCTGACTCTAGAAAGCCCTCCAATGAAACTGCGAGAAAATTACTTTTCTTTTAAAGGGAATGAAAATTCTATCACTGACTCCCAATTAAATAGTTTTCTTCAGGGTTATCAAACACAAGATTCAGTGGAATCAGCATTTCCCCAGGATTTCAAAAGAGAGCTTCAGCTGGCAGAGAGGCAAATTGCCCACCCATTTTTGAAACAAGTTTGAATATGAGTGATAGTTTGCTCTTTGATAGTTTTAACGAAGATTTAGAAAAAGATGAAGTAAGGGAGCAACAGCCAGACCCACAAAAGAGTGTGCCTCCTTCTGAAATTACTTCCAATCATTCCAATGACATTCGTGTCAGCAACTGCATGGGTCAATGGACAAAGCAGTTTTGAATCTATTACCAGTTGATGTGAAACAGGATGTGCAGCAACGGTTTGCCTGTTTCAGTGATGAATTATGTTCTCAGAAATAGATTCTCTTCAGATGGTGGAAGCTTTGGATGGTGCAGATTTGTCTCCCATTCAAGAGCAGCATGTCCCTGCAGTAACTCTTAATAGATTAGAGCAAAGTAAGTCAGGAGTTATAAATGATAATTACTATAGATCAAGAGTAGATAGGATAGGTCAGGATGTAAGTGTCCAAATAATTAAATCTACTGGAGAAAATAATGACGATCCAGTGATGTGGTCTGGGGCATCATTTGATTTAAGCCCAGGAATACAAAGCTTTTTAGATAGACTGGAAAGTGATAAAACAAGTTTAACGAGTACAGAGTCATCTGCTTCAAAGGAAAAGCACATAGACTTAAATGACCAGCAAGAAGTAACCTCTGCTTGGCTAGCACAGGGAATGCCACCTTCTCCTAATGGCAAATCAGAAAACAACTTTGAAGTGTTGGAAAACAATGCTAGGATTCCAGCTTTTCATGGTAAAACTTCATCACCTTTGCTTTATAAGGAAAGCAGCATTATTTCTGATCATCATCTAGAGAGTCATGCATTTTTTCCTCCTTCACCCATTTCTATGCCACCTACCGAGCATGGCCCATCACGAGTCCTTGGAACATCTGAAAAACTTGGGAAAATCAAAATGGCTTTACATAGAGATGAAAGTTACCCACTCAGTTCAGTAGCAGATATTGAAGACCAAGATCTTAAACCACAAAATGGAAATAATCATATGAAAAACTACAGTCCCTCTAAAGACACAGATGTTTCACTGAAGTTTTCACAAGATGTGTCCCAATTAACTCTAGTCCCATGTAGTACTGAGATTTTGACCATCATTGACGTAGCAAGTGACCAAACTCTTTTTCAGACCTTCATCAAAGAATGGCAGTGCAAAAAGAGATTTTCCATTTCACTAGCTTGTGAAAAGGCTGTTCGCCCTATAGGCCTCAAATCAGTGGGTATAGGTGGTAGATTTAAGCAAGGTAAGTTTTTGTTCCTTTTTCCTTAAAAATTTTTTTTTTTGTATATTGGTTGTAGATTATAGTAGAATATTGCCGTTTCATTACCAGTTATTGAGTAGGTTATTTAGGCTTACATTTGTGGCCTTATGTAGAGGATGTTAGCATTACCACTACTAGTAATATATAACTATTCTCTTTCTGCTGCGCGGGATTAAATACTCGAGTGTTCTGAATATAAATTGTTTAAAAAACCCATTTTAAAATTGTTTTGAATTGGACACCATACATTAATTAACAGATGCTATGCCTGGCATAATATGGTTGAAAATGTACACAAGTTATTCCTTATTTTGATCCAGAAAGAGGTTAATAGGAATGGCAGAAACACTCTTATTATATTAATCACGTTTATTATTTGTGTGATTAATTAGATCTGTAGTTTTAAATAATTATAGGAAAGTTTTTGAAGCCCTAGTTCAGAAATGTAAATCACATCTAACCATATTATATTAGAATATTACTGAATTTGCCATTAGAAAAAGAGCAAAGAATATTAGTGTTCATTTTTATGGATAAGGAAACTGAGGCTCACACTGTCAGTGAGCACCCAGCTAGTGAGTGTCACAGGCAGGTTTGGAACCCAGGTCCTCAGTTTTACCCTAGTGCTATGTGTATGTACACATATGCCTCCATTGACCTTTTGTTTCCAAGGTAGGGGGTGGGGCGCGGAACTCTACTTGAAGAGTTTTTTCCTAATATTTCTTTCTGTTTGGAGTTTGCAGTAGCCCCTAATTTGTTTTCCTCCTTTCCTCTCCAAGTCAGTATTAGTTTTTGTTCTATAATTTGCAACTGAATGAATGAAAAGCATTTCTTAAGCCCTTGCTATGTGCCAAACACTGTGCTAAGCATTAGGGATTACAAATAAAAAAAGCCAGGCAGTCCCTGCTCTTAAGAGTTCACACAGTAATTGAGGGAGATTACATATAAAAAGAGTTGAACTGCACAGTTGAAGGAAAGTCCCAGAAGTCCTAAGGGTGCATCAGCAAGGTGGGTAGCAAGGCCCAGGAATCCTCAGGATGCATCAGGTAACAGTGCCGAGAGGCCTAGGTTAGCAGAAAGGCAGATGGCAAGGCCTTGAATCCTTTAGGATGCAGTGAAAAGGCATATGGTAAGTCCTGGTGGTCCTCAGAAACCACTGGTGGCACAATGGATAGAATACTGGGCCTAGAGTCAGGAAAACATGAATTCAAATATGATATCAGACACTTACTAGCTCTATGACCCTGGTAAGTTATTTAACTTCTCTTTGCCTCAGTTTCCTCAGCTAAAAAATGAGGTTAATAATAGCACTGACCTTCTAGGGTTATTGTGAGGATCAAATGAGATAATTGTTGGAAAAGTACTTAGCACAGTGTCTGGCACATAGTAGACACTTAATGCACTTGTTGTTGTTACATGTTATTATTGTTATTATCATTGTTGTCCATCTCGCTACAAGGTTTATAGTTGGTGGTGTTCTTTCTGTTGTCAGCTCTGATGTGAACTAGGGGGCCCATACTCATTATGGGAAGGGTAGAGTGAATGCACTGTTCATTGGTTTATTGAAACTTGGACCAGTGAAATATTTGCTAATGTGCTAATCAAGGCAGGACGCTTTGTTGATTATCTGCTTTCTTTCTTTTCATAAACTTTCTGTTTACATGCTTGTTCACTTTCTCCCATTTATTAAACCATATACTCTCTCGGCTATGTGTTGTATAGTATAAAGAGCCCTAGAGTCTCAAGTCTTAGGTTTCAAATCTTATCTCTGTCATTTACCATCTAAGTGACAGTGGGCAAGTCATTTAATCTCCCTTGGTCTCATTTCCCTCATTTATACAGTGGAGGAGTTATACTAGATGTCTTCTGAAGTACCTTTCAACTTTAGATCTTTGAGCCTAAAATCCTTGTGTGTTTTCATTGCTGTATAAGTCAAGTTGCATATTTTCCAGAGACTCTGGTTACTTTGTTTTCGTATGATGGAATTACTGCTGATCTACTTAGAAGCTTTTTGGGGACAATTGTAACTAATTTTTCCTACCTTGCCCTTCACTGTCACCACCTTGAAGGCAGTTGAGATCAGTGTCTCTCTACCCTACCCTACTTTATTCTTTGCCCCACTTTCCTCCTCCTCCCCTTGCCATCCTACAAGTTAGTGTGGCAGGCATTGTGTTAAGCCTTAAGAATACAAAGAAATGCAAAAAACAATGTCTTCTCTCAAAGAGTTTCATCTCTCCCACAACAGTACTTCTTACTAAATCCTCAATTTCCTGGAAAAATTGGCTGCATGAACCATATCACAATTAAGATAATCCAGGTGTTTTCTGTTTAAGAAGATCATCTGATCATGTCCCTATGTAGTGTAGTATAGTAGTTTTCCCATCTTTTCACATGAACCTCCAGTATTGTAGTAATTGGAATATTATATACATTGATTAAGAAAATACATAATGCCTAAATACTATTGTGAATGCAACGATGCTTTTAAATGAATTTGTCTTTTGTTAATCAGAGTGTGCCCACATATGTTTGGGGAAAAAAAAGAATATGTATAGCACAGTATCATAGAGACAAAGCTGGTAGGGATCTCAGAAATCATTTGGCCTAATTCTTTTTTTGAGATCAGGATGCTGAGAGTCGGAGGGTAAGTGACTTGTACTCAGTCACATAGCCTCAGAGCTAGGTTTTTAAATCAAAGTTCTTTTACTACAAATACAGTGCTCTTGCTACTGTGCCATGTAGTCTATAGAAATTTTTTCTGATTTTTGGATTTATGGACCTTTGGTCTAACAAAGTAACAAAGCAGCAAAATAGAAATTAAGTCAAAAGAAATCATCAGGATCTTTATAGGATATTAATAAAAACTAATAGGAAACCAGTGAAAGAGGAATTCTATTCAGCATCACTGCAAAATGAACAAGATATTTATTAGTTACCCTATCGAGACCCACCCTGGGCATATAGTCTAGATAAGCAAGACTCAAGCAAGTGAACACAGTTGCTTAGTGTTCAGTAAACGAACACAAATTACTTGGGAAAGAAAAGAACTTCTGGGAAACTAAAGTAGTTTGGGAGAAAACAGGGTTACACTGGCGTCTCACAACACATACAAAATGGATACGTGCAGCCTGAAATATAAAGTTACCCAGACAAAAAAATTAAAAATGGAGAGAGTTACCTTTTTACAGTTATGGTTAGAGGGAGGCTTCATTACCAAATAGAATAGCATGGATCAAAGGAGACAAAATATAAAGTTCTAAGACTTGCAAGAACAAAATCAGTACAACTAGAATAAGAGAAATTGTCAAGTGGGAAAATACCTTTGTATCAAATATCTCTGATAAGAGTATGGTGCAGATGTAGATAGAATCAAAAATTGTATAAAACAAAAGCATGGTTTGACATGTCAGGCATATAGGTTTTTAATTAAATTTTTAGAAATGAACTGCTTTTATAGTTAACTTTTGTAATTTTACTTCATTTTATCTTCATTTAGTAAGATCACCTGAACTAATCCCAGTTGCAGATGATGGGTTTCCTGTTAAAGGCCATGAAGACATCTTGTTGGTTGGACTGGCTGTGTGCTGGGGTGAAAGGGATGCCTACTATTTGTCACTGCAACAAGAAGAAAACCATTCTGGTAAGTTAGCATCATTTAGTTAAATTGAGGATTGTGTAGTTTTGTGGGGACTCTTTCAGGATATTCATATTGTTTTTAGGTGGATTCTGTGATACTTACCTAGATTATGTTCGTGATGAAAGTAACAAAATAATTTTTGATGGACAGCCAGAATATGTGTTCGCATGTATTTAAAACTGTCGGGGCAGCTAGGTGGTGCAGCGTATAGAGCACCAGCCCTGGATTTGGGAGGACCTGAGTTCAAATTCGGCCTTGAACACATAATACTTGCTAGCTGTATGACCCTGGGCAAGGCACTTAACCCCATTGCCTAGCCAAAGGAAAAAAAAACACAAAAAAACCCCCCAACAAAACAAAACTGTCTACTTCCCTTTTCTCAGTAGAGAGATTTGAGATCCCCAGATTGCACCTGTTGCACATGCTGTCAGATGTGGTTGCTTTGCTAGTAAATTTTATGTAACTGTTTTTTAGTACAAGAGAGAGTTCGATGGGAGCATAAGGATAGTGAGAAATAACTGATATTTTAGAAAAGGCATCAATTTTTTTAAAAAGAAAAAAATCAGATGCAGCAAAAAAAAAACAGTGCTTGTGAGATATTTGGTTTTGTAGTTTATCTGTATACAAGTTGCATTTCCTCAGTTAAATATAAATTCCTGGAGAGAAGGAATGGTTTCATTTTTGTCTTTTTATCCCTATTACCTAGCACAGTGTTTTCTATACAGCAGGTATTGAATAAATGGTTTCTTGAAATGAACTATTGGACCTGTGTTCTGGGATGATGGAGCCCAACACTACCTTCTGAGTTTACTTCTCAGAATTCTGACTGTTTCATGATAGTCTCAATTTAATGTGATTTCTTCCCTCCCCATCCTTTGAGCTGATTGAAACAGAAGCCTTTTATTCATGCAGTAGGTGTTTAAAAAGTGTTTGCTGAATTAGATTGCCTCAACTAATGGCATATATTTTCCCTTTAAAAACTCTTTTTAGAAATCAGTGCCACTTTAGCACCACCTTCTTTGGATCCAAACCTGACTGTGAATGAGAGACTATGGCAACTTCAGGCTTGTTTGCAACAAATCTCTGTGAAAGAACGTTCAGTTATCATCTACAACTTCATCCAGAACTATAAGATACTTCTTCTGTCTTGTGGCATTTCTCTGGCAGGAAGTTTTGAAGATCCAAAGGTTTGAAGTCTGTCTTAATTTATTTTTCTTTACTTAAAAAACTGATACTGGTTAGAGTTTTTAAATTTTAATTAATTAAATTAACTTTAATATTGAACTGGTCCTGTTCTTATTGGCACTGGAAATTCATTTAGTTTCTTATGTTGTCTTCTACTTTTTTGGCTAGCAACAGGGAGTAAAGGTGTTCAAGAATAGGTTGTTTCTTTTTGGTCATATTTACACATTTTTGTAAAACACTCAGGTGTGTTTCATTTTCAGGTGGCCTGCTGGTTACTAGATCCTGATTCTAAAGAGCCAACACTGCACAATATAGTTACAAGCTTTCTTTCTCAAGAGCTACCATTATTGGAGGGGATAGAAACAGGCCAAGGCATTCAAAACCTGGGACTGAATACCAGCGATAACCACTCTGGCCGATACAAAGCAGCCATCGAATCTATTCTCATCTTCAATTCTATGACCAGACTCAATTTGCTGTTAGAAAAAGAAAAGCTACAAGGTAAGAGTGTCAGGAAACAAATTTCTCAATGTTTTGATAATGCCAAAGATGAGGAGGGTGATGAGGAGAGGAGCAGCAGAGAAGATGCTGGCTTGTGACCTTCCACACACAACGTTCCAGAACACATGGGCGTCCTTTGTTGCAGAAGAGGAAGTTATGGGATCATAGATTTAGAGCTAGCAGGGACCTCAGAGATCATTTTAGTCCAACTTCCTCATTTTAAAGTTGAAAAAAACCTGAGAGATGAAGCAGTCTGTCCAAGGTCATGGTGGTAGCCTGTGGTAGAGCTAGAATGTGAACCCAGGTCCTGTGCCTCCAGTTCCAGTGTTCTTTCTACTGTACCATACTGCCTGAAAATACACATTCTGAACTAGGTATGCATTTTCTCTAAACAGAATCACATGAAATGCACGATTATTTATATATTTTTATTTTTTAAAGAATGCAACTTTGAAAGAATAATGTTTCTGTTTGCATGAAACACTCTGTATCTAAATATATGTGCCTTAATAATTATTGCTAAAAGAGGCCAGACTTGTCTCTTGAATGTTATTAGTTATTATGTATAAATTACAGGCTAGATCATAAATGAGGTTTTTTTGGTGGAGATAGATCTAGACCTCTGATTTTTTTTCTGTGGAGGTAATTCCTTATCAGGAAAACCTTTCCACATGTCAGATACAGCAGTTCTCTGCCTTGTGGAAGTGGAATCAAACTTGTTTTCTTTGGCTTCAGCAGACCAAACTGGAACCAAGGGGTAAAAGCTGCAAGGAGACAAGTTTAGGTGATGTAAAGACTTCGTATCTAATAGACTTTTCTAAAAGTGGAATTGGCTCTTTGGGGATTTCGTAGCTTGTCCCCTTCCCACTAACCCTCCATCTCCCCTCCCTTCCTATTGAAGATCTTCAAGCACAGACTGGCATGGTACTTATTGAGTATAAGGGAACAAGGATTGTTTTTTCAGGTATTGTTGGACTAGCTGGACACTGAGGTCCCCTCTTATTGGGAAACACTTTGATTTTTGTTCTTACGCTGTCGTACTATCTCTGCATTTAGTCAATATTGATTATTGTTGAAACTTTTTCTGTTTTCAAACCTTTGTTTGACTTCTGTAGAAAAGTTACATTATTTCATGGCACTTCTTTGCTAAAGCAGGTATTTGTCTGACCGCTCAAATGAACTTAATAGTGGGTGACCAGTGCTGTTAAAAGTCATCTTTCATGATCAGAGATATATTTACATTCGGAGCTGCAGTCCATATGCTTCACAGCCCAGCTCCAAATAGGGGAGAATTATATAATCTTGACATTAACAGGCGCCTGAGGATTCACATAATCCAATTTCTGAACAAATGTAAAATTACTTTATACAATATGATGGGGAAGTCATCCTTTACCTACTGGTTGAATCACTAAAAACTCATTAGTGTGTTGGATAGCTCTAAATCTTTCTGTACCTATGTAACTTCCATCCATGAGGTCCTATTTCTGTATTTTGGAACAACACAGAACAAGCCTACTTTGTTTTTTCTGGCCAAACATCCTCATTTCTTTCAAGTGTTTGTCATATGAAATGACTTAATCCTCATATCATCATTGTTTATTTCCTATGGACCATTTTAAATTGTATCACCCTAAGAACCTATAATGTTAGGTAAGGAAAACTAACAAAGCTAATGACTTCTATAAGTGGAAATCATTCACAATTGAGCACTTAGACCTAAATATATTCCTTGTCCCCCATTTATATAATAAAAGCTTATTATAGTTGTTTCTCAGCTTATCCCATTTGAGTTTGGAAATAACATCCATACCAATTCACATGGCAGTCACCCTTGCCTTCAATGAAGTTTTGCAACGTTCCTTTATATCCACATTGATAAGTACATACGAACCTTTGAGAGAGGAACAGAAGTGTCTTGACTGTTGTCCTTTTCTTCTCTAAATTACATGCTAAACCCAACTGATATAAGTACCCTCATCTAAATTCCCCTATTGCCTCAGTGCCAAAAATTAATTGGTCCTGATCAGTCACCTAAAACTCAGTGGATGGAGCACTGGGCCAGGACTCAGGAAGGCTGGAGCCCAAATCCAGCCGTAGACACTCGTTAATTGTGTAGCTTGGAGCAGGGCACTTAGCTTCTGCCTGCCTTGTTTCCTCATCTTTAAAACTGCAATAATAACAGCAACCTCACAGGGTTGTTGTGAAGGTCAACTGGGATAATTGTAAAGCATAGTACCTGGTACATAGTATCTGCTATGTAAATATTGGCTATGATTGTTATTATTAAAAAACTATTTGTTATAGCTTAGTTTCAGGGAAGCCTAAATTTATCCTGTGCTTTTAGCTAGTGAACCAGTAGCTATGGTATTATCATTATAAAGCTTAGTTGCCACAATAATCAATCTGTGAAGCAAGTTGTATAAAACAGTTAAATGAATTCTTATTATGCACTTTTTCACCTGAAACTAACTCACTCAAGGCGAGAGTCTTGATTTTGCTTGGGATTGCTATAGAGCTTAATTCCAGCCTGAACAAAAATCCTTTGAAGTCTAGCCTTCTAAAAATGCTACTTAATTAGAGGGGGTCAGATTGGTTAAATTCAGACACAGAGTGCCATTAGTTATTTCCTCCATCCTGAGCATTGTTGAGTAATAATCAAGTATACATACCCACTTTGAAATGAATATTATTACTGATTTGTGGTGATATGACAAAGATATCTATCTTCAGAGAAATGTATTTTTTTTTACATTTGTAATCTTTTTTTATACCAAATTATCATAACTTTTGTATGATACTGACTAGGTGTTGAGATGTTTTCTGTCCGTTTCTGTTTGCTTTGGTGAGTTTGTTTATAACAGCACTCAGGAAATCGAAACCTAAAGAAAAGCATAATTTAATAGGGTCATCTAAGAAGCTTGACTATAGATATGTATTAAATGCATTCTAGTAATGCAGTTGATTTAATCATTCATAACTGACAAGATATTAATGACTTTTGTGTGCTTTTCTTTTTTTCTTCCAGATGTTTTCTGTAAAGTGGAAATGCCCTCCCAGTATTGTTTGGCCTTACTGGAACTAAATGGTATAGGTTTTAGTACGGCAGAATGTGAGAGTCAGAAACATGTCATGCAAGCCAAACTAAATGCAATTGAGGCTCAAGCCTATGAACTAGTAGGTCATAGCTTCTCCTTTACTTCTCCAGATGACATTGCTGAGGTTTGTATAATGGGGACAAGATCAGTAAATAAGTACAATCTATACCTTTTTATAGTGGTGTTTTTAAAAAATCATGATTTTTTTAAATTTTTAAATAAGTTTTTATTGATATGTTCTATTTCTTACATAATCATAGTTATCCTAAGTATTCCTCCCCTTTCCCCTCCCAGAGAGCTATCCTATGTAATAGATGGCATTTTTTAAAGAGGAAAAGAAATAAGCACGACTGATTGATATATTAAAAAAGTCCAAAAAGGGGGCAACTAGGTGGTACAATGGATAGAGCACTGATCCTGGAGTCAGGAGGACCTGAGTTCGAATACAGCCTCAGACACATGCTACTTACTGTGTGACTCTAGGCAAGTTACTTAACCTCAATTGCCTCACCATTAAATGAAAAATAGCAAAAGAGATTCTGTTCCAGCCCCTTATTTTAGTTCTGTATGTGTCTTTCTGTTTCAAGTGTATCTCTTGTAAACAAGATAATGGATTTTAGTTTCTAAATCATTCTGTTTTCTCTTCTCTTTTATGGGTGAGTTCATCCATTCATATTCATAGTTATTATTGTGAACTGTATATTTCCTTCCATTCTATTCTATTCATCCTCCCTTGTTTTACGTTGTCCTTCCTGAAGGGTCTGTATTGCTTTTGACCAGATGTTCAGTCCCTTACTGTCCCCAGGCACTGCTGCTGTTTCACAGCCCACAACCAGTGCTGATTCTGCCCCGCTTTTGACTAGGCTTCACCCCAGTGTCTGTAGATCTCTCTTTCAGTCTTCTTAAGCTGCCTTTTTCTGGAAAAAAATCACTCATTGTGACTTTTTCTTGGCTTTCTTGCTCAGAATTCTGTTTGGTGTTTTCTGTTGTCATTTTATAGGAGAGATTTTGGGGAAGGTTTGGCAGTTGTGATCTTTCACTCTGCCATCTTGACTCTGTCCTTATTTTGAAATTGTTAATTTTGCCACTGCTTCTCACCCGCCCCCAATCTCTTTCTCTGTCTTTTATTCTGTCTCTCTGTCTCTCTCTCCACTTAAATAATTAAGTAGGTACACTGTTATGATTTCTCCAGTGAATTATTAGAACTTATTAAAGAGTCTAGAGATACTGCCACATCATCTTATTTTTCGTATGCTTGGTGTAGAATTTAAAGCATATCATTACCTCTTTGAAGGCTGCGATCCATTAATGTCTAAAACAGGGCACAATGCCAGTTTAAAGATGTTGAATAATTAATTTTCTTGAATTAAACAACATTGTTCTTTTGAAATTTTATTCAAACAAAGCAGCTAAAATGTGTGCAGTGGTGATCTCCCATGTATAGCTCTGATAATGACCATCTTTATTAAATATTCCTGCACAGTATACTTGGTATGTAGAGCAGGGATGGGGAATCTGCAGCCTTGAGGCCACATGTGGCCCTTTGACTGAATCCAGACTTCACAGAACAAATCCCCTTAATAAAAGGACCTAGGTTCCCCATCCCTGACCTAGAGTCAAGTTTCTCTATATAGTTTATTTCCTCAGTCAGCTTTTTAAAGTACTTTCTGAATGACATCTTAATTTTAGGTCATCTTTAGTGTAATTCAGCTATTTACCATATGATAGTTTATTTTCACCTTTCATTGATAAAATATTTGACCTAAAAAAATGCCATTTTCTTTCAGGTTTTATTTCTGAAATTGAAGTTACCACCAAATGGAGTTCAAGGAAACAAGAAAACTTTGGGTTCTACCAGAAGGATGATTACAAATGGACGTAGTACCAAGATAGGCAAGCAGTTCAGTACTAGTAAGGTAATACTTTCAGGAAATTTTGTAGCAAAGTCAAAATTCTGTTTGACATTTCTCCTAACTGTTTGTTCAGATAATTTTGGGATTCAGAGTTAAGATCCAGAGTTAATGATTCCTGACTTTTGAACTCGCTCAGATAAAAATAGAAACACTGGTTACTTAGGCAGCCCATAAAACCAGTGGTGGCCATCATTGCTTGAATGAATAGATGAAAAAGCATTTAAGAATCTATTTGTGTACCAGGTATGCTCATTGCTAAGTATACAAAGGCAAAAGTGATACAATAAGTATTATCCTAATAGGGAGTGACAATGCATGTAGGGGAGTGGAGGCCAGGGAAGGAGGTTTTAGTTTGGGAGCCATAGGAGTAGTAAGTGATACTAGAGAGCAGTCAGTTGTCATACCTTTTCCAGAAACATCGGTACTATTGATTTGATTGCTGTTACCAGAGCAAGAGGTGGAAAGTGATGGTGGTAGGGAGCACAAAGTTGTATATGCCCACACACACAAGAAGGGCAGATGGAAATTGTCTGGAGTGGATGAATGTGGAACATGGTTAGGTGATAGATAAATTTGTATTCACTCAGCAGCAATACAGTTCAGCTCTAAGACAATAAATCTTTTTTTTTCCCCTTTTGTTAGGCAGTTAAGTGACTTGCCCAGGGTCACACAGCTAGTTAAGTGTTATGTGTCTGAGGCCAGCTTTGAACTCAGGTCCTCCTGACTCCAGGGCTGGTGCTCTATCCGCTGCGCCACCTCGCTGCCCCCTCATTATCTTTTCATAGCACTTAGGATCTATTACTGAGTGAGTTTAGTGTGTGCAAATAGTGTCATGGAGATGAATTAAGACTTCCTAGGCACTGTTCTTTTATTTGGAGCATTGCTGTTGATCTTTGGAAATGTCTATTTTGGGTACCTTAGGTTTAACAAGTCTTTGTTCAGGCATGGAAAATTGGGAGAAGTAAGTATATGGCATATTAACATAATCTATTCAATTGTGTATTTTTAACAGAACTCTAATTTATTAAGGAAATAGTGCATATGTTGATTAAATTTTCTTATAAGTAATATAATTCCTAATTTAAAACAAGTATTAAAAGAAAAGTAAAATTTCTAAGTATAAATAAATACTATCATTGTTACTTAATAATTCTAGGCACTGCTTATGTAACTTGATTATTTTTATATATCTAAGGGAATGTTTTAAACTTTCTCCATTTTCAGGACTGTTTCAGGACACTTTTTACTGTTCTTTTCTCTTTTTTTATTAACTTATTTTTCTTTTTTATTCTGGACTTGACCAACACCGAATAAAATGAGCATTTCCATATACAAGTAAAACAGGAAGAAGATTGTACATGACTCTGCAAGTACCTATTATGCACAGCTTGCTTTCCCTTTTAAGTAATGTGTACATATTTATAATTGTCTTTATTTAAGAAACTATTTATTAATTTTTACTTTTCAACATGCACTTCCATAAGATTTTGAGTTTTAAATTTTCTTCCCCTTCTCCCCGCTACCCAAGACTGTGTACAATCTGATATACGCTCTACTTGTACATTCATATTAAGCATGCTTTCACGTTAGTCATGATGTAAAGAAAATTAGAACCAATAGGAGGAACCAAGAGAAAGAAGAATCAAAACAAAACAACAAGAAAAGGAGAGCAAATAGTATGCTTCCATCTGCATTCAGATTCCCTAGTTCATTCTCTGGATGTGGATAGCTTTTTCCATCGTGAGTCTTTTGGAGTTGTTCTAGATCCTTGCAATGCTGAGAAGAGCTAAGTCTGTTAAAGTTACTCATCGCACAATGTGGCTGTTACTGTGTACAGTGTTCTTTTGGTTCTCACTTCACTCAGCATCAGTTCATAAAAGTCTTTCCAGGTTTTTCTGAAGTCGACCTGCTCACCATTTCTTATAGCACAGTAGTATTCCATCACATTCATATACCACAACTTGTTCAGCCATTCCCCAATTGATGGGCATCCCCTCAGTTTCTAATTCTTTGCCACCACAAAAAGAGCTACTATAAATATTTTTGTATATGTGGGTCCTTCTCCCATTGTTATGATCTCTTTGGGATACAGCCCTAGAAGTGCTATTGCTGGGTTAAAGGGTAGGCACATTTTTATAGCCCTTTGGGCATAGTTCCAAATTGCTCTCCAGAATGATTGGATCAGTTCACAACTCCACCAACAATGCATTAGCGTTCCAGTTTTCTCCAACATTTATTATTTTCATGTTTTGTCATGTTAGCCAATCTGATAGGTGTGATATGGTACCTCAGAGTTGTTTTGATTTGCATTTCTCTAATCAATAGTGATTTAGAGCATTTTTTCCTATGACCATAGATAGCTTTACTTTCTACCTCTGAAAACTTCCTGTTCATATTCTTTGACCATTTATCAATTGGGTAATGACTTGTATTCTTATAAATTCGACTCAGTTCTCTGTATATTTTAGAAATGAGGCCTTTATCAGAGACACTGGCTATAAAAATTATTTCCCAGCTTTCTGCTTGTCTTCTAATCTTGGTAGTGTTGGCTTTTTTTGTGCAAAAGCTTTTTAGTTAATGTAATCAAAGTCATCCATTTTTTATTTCATAATATTCTCTATCTCTTGTTTGGCCATAAATTCTTCCCTTCTCCATAGATCTGATAGGTAAACTATTCCTTGCTTTCCTAGTTTGCTTATAGTATCCATCTTTGTATCTCAATCAAGATGTTGGTCTATGCCTAGTTTCTGTCTCACTCTTTTCCACTTTTCCCAGCAGTTTTGGTTAAATAGTGAGTTCTTATCCCAGAAGTTAGAGTTGGATTTATCAAATAGTAGACTATTAACTATTGTGTCTTGCATACCTAGCCTATTCCACCGATCCACCACTATATTTCTTAGCCAGTACCAAGTAGCTTTGATGGTTGCTGCTTTATAGTACAACTTAAGATTTGGAACCACTTTCATTGCATCTCATAAGTTAATTGTTTTTTTTAAATATAATAAATTTAGCATATAAGCTAGCTGTCCTGCTTATTTATGTTTCATTCTGCCCTTCTTTCTGTTCTCTTTTGTGAATTTAAAAAAATACATCAGTGGTCCTCTTTGATTTTCTGTTTTGTAATCTTACATAGGTAGTTAAGCAAAACAAATTTCCATATTGTCTGGGTCCAAAAATGTATTTGTCATTCTGTACCTTGAGCTCATCTTCTCTTGTTAGGAAGTTGGCATGCTTCATTATTGGTCTTTTGATGCTGTCTTTTTAAGTCTGTTCCCAGATACTAATAAGAGGAAAGATGGCAATTATGTCTTAAAAACTTCCCTTAATTTCTCTTTTCTCTAGACTGCCATTTAGAGTCCCTGATTCTAGCCTGCTATCTGCCCAGCATGACCCTTCTCAAAATGGAGGCAGTCTATCTTTATACTTTTTTGATGACTTACCCAGAATCTACAACTTGGCTTCATAAAAGGGCCAAACTCTTTTTCTTTGCAAGTAGTAAAAACCATTAAACAAATAAGAAAAATTAAACCAAATTATATGGGGTTCTTACCAGGCTAGTATTTGTAAGAGAAACTCCGGCTTTGGCTGAATTATGGATTTCAAGAGAGGTTAATGTTCACATGGCCTGGAAAGATACACTGGGGGTAGACTATCTAGGGCTTTAAAAGCTAAACAGAGGAATTTATATTTTATCCTAGAGGCAACAGGAAGCCACTTAACTGGGGCCGTGGTCAGATAATAACACTTAACATTTGTATGGCATTTACTATGTACAAGCACTGTGCTAAGATAATCAGTATCTCATTTAGACCTCACAACAACCTTGCAGGGGAAATGCTATTTTTTTTTTTGGTCTAGGCAGTGGGGTTAAGTGACTTGCCCAGGGTCACACAGCTAGTAAGTGTTATGTGTCTGAGTCCGGATTTGAACTCAGGTCGTCCTGAATCCAGGGCCGGTGCTCTATCCACTGCGCCACCTAGCTGCCCTGGGAAATGCTATTATTATCCCTATTTTACAGATGAGGAAACTGAGACAAACAGAGGTTAAGTGACTTTCCCAAGAGACCAGCCAGTGGGGCCACCTAGCTACCCCCTAGATCTGTATTTAAGGAAAATTTCTTTGTCTTTAAAAATTATTCTAATATTTGTATGATTATACATTTTCATCAGTCATATTATCATAAGAGGCTGTGTGGCATTGTGGTTAGTGTATTAAACTTGGAATAAAGAGGACCTGAAGTGTGAATCCTGCCTCATCCACTTAGCTGAGTGACTCTGGGAGAATCAGTCAACATCTCTGAACCTCAGATTCCTCATCTGCCAAATGGGATACAGTGGTACACCTATAATAATACCTGTACCACTTAGATCACAGGTTTATTATTATGAAGAATAAAAAAGCTAACCTAAAGCACTTTGCAAATTTTAAAGTGATATATAGGATGTCAGAAATTCTTTTCTCTTAGCCATAATTGTTAATAGTGTGATTTTCCATTCTTCTCATTTGTATGTAACTTTATATTTAGATTGTTTATCCATTTATAATTTATGGCTATAAAATTTAAGATATATACATCAAGGGTTCTTAATCTGAGGAAGGTGAAGTTGTTCCTTAAAATATTTTGATAGCTATATTTCAGTATAATTAGTTTCTTTTGTATTTTTCCTATGCAATTTATTTTATTCATTTAAAAATATTCTGAGAAATTTTCCATAAGCTTCACTGCTGAAGAGATTAATGAACCAAAAAAAGGTTAAGAACCCTTGGCCTAAATGTTCTTTCTACTAAATATCTTTTGAGTTTTTTTAGCTCATTCTCTTCTTTACTCTTTATAGTCTGACTTCTGGGCTTATCATTGAATTGAAAGAAATTATTCTCTTTACAATTACCTATGGTCTCTTAATTGACAAATCTAATCACCTTTTCTTAGTGCTCACCTTTCTTGACTTTTCTGCAGTCTCTGACACTATTGCTCACTTTCTTCTCCATAATAACCTTTTCTCTCTGGTTTACTTTGACACTGCTCTTTCTTGCCTGTCTGACCACTCCTTCTCTCTTTTGCTGGATTTTCCTACGCTTCACAGTGGCTTTCCTCCAAGGGTATGTCCTAAGCCCTCTTCTCACTACATATCATTTCATTTGATGATTTCATCAATTCCCATGTATTTAATTTATCATCTCTATGCAAATTATACCCAGATCTATTTATTCAGTCTTGAATTCTTTCCTGATCTCCTGTCGTACATCTCCAATTCTGTGTTAGACATCTAGATGCCTCCTAGAAATCTTAAATTCAACATGTTCAAAAGAAAAAAAGAAAAGTTTTTTGAACACGTTGAATTTATTTGCACCTCCCTCCTCCTCCCTCTCACTCTAGCTTGGGCTATTAAACTCATTTTCTTCCCCCTTCCAAACCATTCCCTTTCCCTAATTTTCTTATTACTGTTGAAGAGATCATGATTTCCTCAGTCACCCAGGCTTAATTATAATCTGGGTGTCTTCCTCAACTTCTTGCTCCCTTGTCCAATAAGTTGCTAAGTCTTGTTGATTCTACCTTCCTCACATATCTTATATATGCCCCTTTGTCTGTCACTATGGTCCAGGCCCTTATTTCCTGGACTATTGCAATGGCCTTTTGTTTGGTATCTGTGTTCCAGTTTATCTTCCACTCAGCTCTTAAACTGATCTTCCTGAAAGCACAGGTCTGACTATTGCACCTACCATTCAGTGAACCCCAGCATCTCCCTAGCACCTCCAGTAGTAGATATAAAATCCTCTATTTTTGAAGTTTTTTTTAACACCTTCCACTCTCTCTCCTCCAACCCTTCCCCCTCCCCAGCCCATGCCTGGAATGCTTTCCAGCCCTTTCTTTATCTCTGGCTTCTTTGTCTTCCTTCAAGTCTCAGTTAAAATTCTAGCTTCTGCATGATCCTTGTCTTGGTTCCCCTTAATGCTAGTGTCTTCCTTTGAGATTATCTTGAACTTGAGCCTGTATAACTTGTTTGTACAGAGTTATTTGTCTTTTGTCTCCTCCATTAGATTTTCAGTTCCTCGAGGGTAGCAATTGTTTTTACCTTTCTTTGTATCCCAGCACTTAGCATACTGCCTGCTGTATAGTAAGAGTTTATAAATGCTTGTTTATTTGACTTGGATTTTGATATTGGTAGGTGATACCATTAAGCATAATATAATTTGCATGTTTATCCATAATATTGTATTTGAATATTACAAATTGTTACTGATATAATAATATTATTTTTATTCCAGAGAAAATAATTTTCCATGTTATTTTAAAGGCTGTGTTGTTAAACTAACAGATACTCAATGCCTATATAAAACTTGCAAGGTAATTTAAATATATTTTTCTTATATTCCTTTGGCAGGATGTTTTAAACAAACTGAAGATGTTACATCCATTACCAGGCTTGATTCTAGAGTGGAGAAGAATCACAAATGCTATTACCAAAGTTGTCTTCCCACTGCAGAGGGAAAAATGTATGAATCCTGTCCTTGGAATGGAAAGACTCTATCCTGTATCACAGACTCACAGTGCTACAGGTAACGATGGATTTGCCTTTGGAATTACTTCTTTAAAATTTTTTAAAAAAATTATTTCATTAAATATTTCTCAGTTGCATGTAATTTTTCTTAAAAATCATTTTTAAAGGTTTTGAGTTCTAAATTCTCTCCCTCCCTCATGCCCTTTCCCTATGCATGGAAAAGGCAATCAATATGATATCAGTTATACATATGAAATTAATACAAAACATATTTCCATAGCAGCCATTTTGCAAATGAAAACACATAAAAATCCCAAGAAAAATAAAGTTTAAAAAGTATGCTTCAGCCCATACTCAGAATTCATCAGTTCTCTTTCTGGAGGTAGATAGCATTTTTCATCATTCGTCCTTTGAAATTGTCTTGGATCATTGTGTTGGTATTAGAGTAGTTAAGTCTTTCACAGCTGATCATCCTTACAATATTGCTATTACTGTATTTAGTGTTCTCTTGGTTCTGCTCACTTCACTTTGTATCAGTTCATGTAAATCTTCCCCAGGTTTTTCTGAAACCATCCCTGGCATCATTTCTTGCAGAACAGTAGTATTCCATCATAACCATATACCACAACTTGTTTAGCCATTCCCCAGTGGATGGATATCTCTTTGATTTCCAATTCTTAGCCACTACAAAAAGAGCTGCTGTAAATATTTTTGTACAAATAGGTCCTTTTCTCTTTTCTTTGATTTCTTTGGAATATAGATGTAATGGGTATTGCTGTATCAAAGGGTATGCACAGTTTTATAGCCCTTTAAGAATAGTTCCAAATTGTTCTTTGCAATTACTTCTTAAGAACTGTTAAATAATAGCTAATTTTAAAAATAAACTTCTGTTTTTAGAACAGATTTTCAGAGACCAGCCTCCAATCGAATGTGATATAATAGGGAGAGGTATTCTCAGTCATTTGTTTTGATAGACCTTGCTCTGGCTTCCGGCCTCCTTAATTAGCTTTCCTGAATCTCCTATTATCTCCACTATCTTCAGTCCCTTTAGCCTACCTACGGCCATCACTCCATGAGTGGTGGCCATAGTAACATCTATTATGCCCTAAGGGAAATAACTTCAGTTCTTCCCTCTCGTTTCAGAACCTTTCCAAGTTTTCTTTTAGTTCCTTTGTCTGACTTCTTCAATATCTTTCACATCAATATCCTCCTTTGTTTTTCTACTTTTGCACCCTAATACAAGCCCTCATTGGCTCGATTATTGCAAATTTCCTAATTTGTCTTTCTGTCATTTCCTAATTTGTCTTTCTGTCATTTGTCTTTATTTCTCTCTCTCCCTCTCCTCCTTTCCACTCTTCGTAGCCCTGCCAAACATCTTCCTTGTGCATAGATTTGGTTATGTTACTCTGCCGCTCAAATTTCAGTAGTAGTTCCTTGTTGACTAACCAAATAAGGTTCCAGCCCCTCTTTCTGTCATTCAAGGCTCTTTCCTGCCTTTCCAGTTTTATAATACTTCTTTTTATTTATCCTGTTACAGACAAACTGGATTCTTTTCTGTCTCTCTAAGCCCCTCTTGAGCATTTCTTTCCTCTGTGCCTGGAATATGCTACCCCCTCCCTCTGTTGAATTTCTTCCTGCCACGTAAAGCCCAACTTAAATGCTACCCATTCCAGAAAGCTTTCTTGGTCCTACCTGTCAGTAAATAATCTTCCTCTTTGGACTTTATGTGGTCCTTTTTGGGGGCACTTATCTAACATATTGATATATAATCATTATTATGCATATTAACAGTCTGTGAAAAGAAGCCTGGTATAGTGGATAGAGGGACAGCCTTAGAGTCTGGGAGATCTGGGTTCAGTTATTACTCTGACAGTTGCAATTGTGTAACCCTGGGAAAATCACTTAACTTTTCAGTGTTTCAGACAACTCTGAGAATAGAAATTGTAGAAAGGTCCCATCTACCTAGGGAAAGGAATTTTCCTCACTGGGAGTTCCCTGTACCAGTGAAATCACAGGTCCAGTCCAAAAAAAATTAGCAATATGTATATTTGTTATAAGTGTCAACTCTACTGTAAGTTCCATCAAGTCCCTCAGCTGAATGTCTCCCCAAGTGCCTGACTCTAAGGTCTGTACACAGTAGATGCTTGATAATGTTTGGCTTGGATGGCTTCCAGTCATAAAGTTTTTGTGAGGATCAAATGAGATAACAGATTGTGAAAGTACTTTTGAAAAGTATAACACACTAGGCAGATACAGGTGAGTGTATAGGATGATGGGGAAGAAGGTGACATATTGTAGCCAAAAAACTCACCACAGTTAGGGTTAGGATAAAGGGAAGAGGGAAAAGGAATCTCACAGGATCTTTCCTAATGTGGAGCCTTAGGGAGGAGGTAGTAAACTGTCAGGAAGCTCACATCACTGTCTTTGGAAATTAAGTAATAATTAGTCAAAACAGAGCACCGGCCCTGGAGTCAGGAGAATCTGAGTTCAGATGCGGTCTCATACACATGACACTCACTAGCAAGTCACTTAACCCCAATTGCCTCACCAGAAAAATAAATTAAAGAAAAAACAAAAAAAGAGAAACAACAAAATTGATTTTTATTGACCCTGGAGGGGAAAGAACAGAGGAAGAAATTCTTCCATCTCATGCTGTGCCTGCCCTTTGAGGGAAGATGAAGAGGAAAGTTGGTGAGAAAGGGAACTTCCATCTCCTGCTGTGCCCCTTTCCTGCTTAATTTACACCCTTTGCAAAGAAAAGGAATAGAGAAGAAGGGCCTCCCATCTGATCTTCTGACTTTGTGCCTCACCCTGCACTTGTTTCCAGGTAGATCCAGTGATGCCTTCCATTCTCTCACTGGTCATGCCTTTGACATCCCAGTGACTCTGAATCCCTATAGGTCATCATCCAAACCCCATTCCCCCTCCCCCCCACCTGTATTCCTGTCCTTTTCAATTCTCCCACACCCCACTTTCAAGCAGACATCACCCTAGTACTTCCAGTGTGACCTATGGAAATGCCTGTTTCATAGGTAACAAACTTACATTCGTCCTAAATCTGTTCCTCTCCCACTTTCATCTACTTTCTCTTGCTGAAACCTGGCTTCCTGCAGAAGACAGCCTTTTTGGCCCCCCTTTCCCTGTACCATCACTCATTCTTCTTGGCTTACTAGTCGAGGCAGGGGATTTGGAATACTCTTCTCTCTCCATTGCCACTTTTGGGTTCTCTCTCTTCCTCCATTACTCTATGAACTCTTCTTTGAGGTTCATGCTATTCATATCTACCACCCAATCAAAATTTTGATAGCTGTCATCTACAGACCTCCAGGTCACTCCCCTTTGTTCCTCAGAGAGTTAACTGCATAGCTCACAATTTTTTCTCTTCCACAACTGCTGCCCTCATACTAGGGGACTTGAGCATATATATTGACTCTCCCTCAAACACAGTAACTGTTTAATTATTATTCAACCTATTCATTTCCCATGAGCTACTCCTCTACCTCATCTCAGCCATACACACATACCTTTGATCTTGCTGTAATCCACAAATGTATCACCTTGGTATTCAAGAATCCCAAAATCCCCATCTTATTAGTTTTTCACCTCTCCCTCTGCCTTCCTTTAGAAATCCCTGCTCTTTGTCTTCGATGTGACCTCCAATCCCTTGACCCCCCTCAATTCTCTCCCAGGCTGTCTCCCTGAACTAGCCATTCTCTCCTTCTCCTTGTCTTGACCTGTTGGTGAACCAGTTCAACTCTATACTGTCTTCCTCTCTTGAATTCCTAACCTCCTTATCATCCAGCTAAGCCTCAGCTTTGGATCACTCCCAGCATTCACCACCTTTGCTCCTACAGAGGTGCTGCTGAATGAAGTGGGAAACAAAAGCCTGACTGGGTCTGTTGCAGATTTATGTTATACAACCTCAACTGGGCCTTCACTAGACAATCCTACTATACCTGCTTTATCAACTCACTGTCCCATTCTCCATAGTACTTCTTCCAGATCTTTTCATCCCTCCTTAAGCCTCTCATAGTTCCCTCTATTCCTTCTCTCTTAGCTGAGATGCTAGTTTTATATATTACAGAAAAAACTGAGGCCATTTGTCCTGAGCTCTCTCTTTTTTCTCTCTCCTTTCTTCCTCATCTCTCATCACTAAGATGCCTTTTACCACTATCTCCTCCTTCACCTCTGTCTACATGAGAAGGTGGCCTTACTCCTCACGAAGGCTAACCCTTCAAGTGATTTTATTACATCTCATCGCCTCCAATAGATCCCTTTCTACTGATTCATTCCCTACCACTTGCAAACATACCCATGTCTGCCTCATTTTGAAAAAACTCTCACTTGATACTTTCTTCCCTGCTAACCATCATCCTATATTTCTTTTGCACTTTGTAGCTAAACTCCTGGTTAAGGCCATCATAATAGGTACCTCCACTTTCTCTCCTCTCACTCTCTTCTTAACCCCTTGTAATCTGATGTCCAACTTTATCATTCTACCAAAACTGTTCTCTCCAAAGTTACTAATGATCTCTTAATTGCTAAATCCAGTGGTCTTTTCTCAATCCTCATTCTTTTTGAACTCTCTGCAGCCCTTGACACTGTTAATCACTCCTTCCTCCTTGATATTCTCTTCTCTTTAGATTTTCAGGATACGTCTCTCTCCTGGTTTCTGCTTGTTCTTCCTCTGTTTCTTTGCTGAATCCTCATCCAGATCATGCCCTGTAACTAGAGGTGTCCCTCTGGGCTCTGTCCTGGACCTTCTTCTCACCTCCAAATCCAGCATTGTGTATACACATAGCCTGTCTGTTTTGACACCATTCCCTTCTGATAACCCCTAACCACTTAACCATTACTAACACTTACATGAGCATCATATATACCTGTACCTAAATCTTCATAATCTGAATTTAGAATCCATTGCACATATAAACTCATACAAATTCAAATCCTCTTCATGTATACAGATTGTGCACAGACACAACATTTAAGAGTAGGTAGTTAAATGAATGGCTTGCTAAATGGTGGACTGAATATAGATATATAGAAAAAGGCGGGACTAGATGAGGACCATTCAGTACACTTGTAAGTATCTTGTGAGTAAAGATTATTTCTTTTCTTGTATTTGTATCTGCAGTGCCTTACAGAGTGTCTTTACTACTAATTACTCAATAAATAATTTTGATTGATTGTTGAATTACCCCTTTACCTAATAAGATTAATTTTCCCATTGCAACTGCCGTCAGCTTAATTGGCAAGGCCAGTCCAGAAAGCTCATTGCCCATGAGGGAGAGAGTCACTGCCAGTTGTTTTATAGACACTAATGAAACAGGTACAGAAGCATCTTCTCTTGGTAAAGGGGCTGTACAGGACTCTGTGCTGTGAACATAGATGATCTCAGTGAAGCACTTCTAGTGATACACATCTTTCCTAAAAATAGAAGGGGATGTGTCACAAATCTGATATGGAAATCAGGATCTGTTAATGAGCTGAATATGACATGGTATGAGCTAATGTACTCATTCCTTACTAAAGCCACATTTTTGAAAACACTAAGCTTACACTACTACTAATGATAATAATAATTAGGATTTATATAGCACTTTAAGGTTTGCAAAACAGTTTAAAATATTTTTATCTCATTTTATCCTCACAACAACCCTAGGAAATAGGTGCTACTTTTAGAATGTTTATTATGATACTTGAGAATCAATCAGTCAATTAAATAGTGTTTATTAGGTGTCTATATACTCTTACTCTGGCTCAGGGCTGAGGGTATAAGTACAAAGAATAAAAAATCCCTCCTAAAAAAGGCCATTACATTCTAATGGGAGAGACAAAACAAGTACATATAAAAATATGTATAGCATAATTATACTTTTTGTTATGTGGAAGTAATTCATTTTGCATACTTGTTTTATGACATCCCCTCAAATGTTTTAGAATAATTTCCAGCAAAAAATGCATATAGTTAAGGAAAACCAGAACATGACATTCTTTGATAATGTCAATTAACTAAGGTGTCGCTGTCAAATTTTTTTTATTGAATAGTTTTGTCCATCATGATATGAATGGTTTGGGCCATTTTGATCTTGTTAAAGTTTGAAATTTTTGAGTCCTTCATTTCTAAGTCTCTTTTCTTTTTACCTTGTCTATCTTTCTAGTGCATAAATTCCATTGACAATCACTGCTTTCAAATCCCCATATAATCTTTCTTCTGTGTCTTCCTCACTCATGATTTTTTATATGTGGAGATATGAAATTATTTTTCCTATGCTTCATTATATTAGTCTTCTGCTAATTTAGTCATTAACTACCTTGAAATGTAGGATGCAGATCTTTAGGTATATTCATTTTTAATAACCTTTTTTTTTTGTCTTGGAATAGCTTTGCAGGGAGCTGTGTTAAATCCCATTTAATGCTACCTGATTCAGTACTTGATTTATGTTATTAGTTTATTGTGTGCTTATGCCTATTTTAGGTATGTAGTATAAATAGCGCAAAAACAAATACTAAATTTTAATTACTTTAAATTTATTTCAGCCTTTATTTTAAAGCCCTATATGTTTTAAAAGAATTTTGGATTTTTGAATGCATTTTACCCGTACAATAAGTGGTCATCTTTTTCTAGTTTTAAATACCTGTCAATCTTGCTTAATTTCAGGTCGAATAACTTTCACAGAGCCAAATATACAAAATGTGCCAAGGGATTTTGAGATTGAGATGCCAGCACCAGTTGGAGAAGCCCACCTTCTCAAGTACAAGGCAGAAGTTTCCCTTTCAGGAGCAGGTAGAAGCCATGTCACATAGTGACTCCATTTAGTTTGTATTAGCCGGCAATTAGTCATAGAAATGGGATCGAGAACCCTTTTTTCAACTTCATCTATGTAATGAAACCCTTTTACTTTTCTGTTCAAATATCTTATACTAATGAAATGAGGCCATTAGTTAGATGGTATTGCATTGGCTCATCCTTTAGAACGTCTTTTTAGGCCAAGTGTGTCTGTGTTGAAGCCTTCTTGCTGCTCAGGATATTTGTGGGCGGACAGATCAATGTCAGTGTAAAGACAGTGTGAGGGATTGAATGGGGTGAAGGTGACATGGAATTAATGCTAATGCTTCTTAGATTGGTGCTCAAGTTCAAGCAGTCCCTGGATAATAAACAAACAAAAAAACAACAACAACAATAATCTGGTGTCTCTTCAGAATAAATAATGCTTTCTTATTAAACACTTGGCTATTTCCTTTGGGGTTAACTTTTCATTATGTCATTTTATACTATTTTAATTTCTTCCTGTCCTTAAAATGATATGTGATTACATTTGTATGTTATTTGCAGTCCGTGAACATAGTGCAGAACACAGTGGCAGAATTATGTGCTATTCTGCTTATAAATTTCTATAAATTGAGACTAATGGACTAGAAAACTAATGTTCATACTACAAATTTTGCGAAATATCTGAGTTTCATTCCAGGCTATTCTTAAAGCAAGCCTTGTAGGAAAATTAAAACAAAACAAAACACCTTTTCATTTTCCTATTTAAGATTCTGGCTTGACTCAAAAATAAGTCCATGATATATTTTTGAGTGTGATATATGTTATGGTTTTTCTCTCCACAGAAGAAGTAAAAGCAATTGTAATATAAATTCTGGGTACCAGACACTAATGGCTGAAAGAGTGAAAGACAATGGGAAGCCATTTTCTGTTAGTATGAGACATGCCTTTGTTCCTTTTCCAGGTAAGTTTGTTGGTATTTCTTAAGCTCAGTATTAAAATATGTATGTGTATATATATGTATATGTATATGTGTATGTATATGCATATATGTGTATATGTGTATAAATGCATGTATATGTGTATAAATGCGTGTATATATGTATATGTGTGTGTGTGTGTGTGTATTTCCCAGGTTAAATGGCCTCTCAATCTTTTCCTCCTTAACAGTTGTCTTTTTATAATACCACCAACTTCTTAGTCATACAGGTTTAAAACCTTGATGTCCTCTTCAACTTTTATTGATTTTACCTCATACTATCTTAAACAATCCATTTTTCTCTACTCATTGAGCCCACCAAACAAACAAGTGCAGGCTCTTACCACCTCTTGCTTAGACTTTTCAAATAGATTTCTAATTAGTCTTCTTGCTTCCAGGTTCTCCCTGCTCCATTCCATACTTCACACAGCTTCCAAATTGATATTCCTAAAGCACAAACCAGACCTTGTCATTTCCTTGTTCCCCAGTACCCCCCTGTTGACTAGAATAAAAAATAAAAATTATGTATTTGGCATTTGAAGCCTTACTTAGTCTATCGTCAGCCTATAAAAAACCAAACCAAACCAGATCTTAGCTTTATTTAATTAGTTCAATGGTTTCTTTCTTTCTTTTTTTTTTTGGTTAACTTTCAATTTTGTTAATCTCTCCTTTAATTTTCAGGATTTCTATTTTGGTATTTAATTAGGGGTTTAAATTTTATTTTATTTTTTATTTTTGTTTTGTTTTAGTTGCACAGCCAATTTACTGATCTGCATTTTCCCCCTTTTATTGATGTAAGACTTTATAGATATACATTTTTGCCTTTTTATTATTTTGGCTGCATTGCAGAAATTTTGATATGTTGTCTCATTGTTGTCATTCTCTTTCATGAAATTGTTGATTGCTTTTGTGATTTGTTCTTTGAACCACTCATTCTTTAGAGTTAGGTTACTTAGTTCCAGTTAATTTTTAATCTATGTTTCTGAAGCCTTTTATTGAATATAGTTTTTATTCTGAGATATGAAAAGCTTGAGAGACATAATTTATGAGTAATTAATCATTTTGTTAATTATAGTTAGCAGGTAATTAATAAAAGGATGATCATTTAGCCATCTCTCATAAACCAAAGATGAAACATAACAGGCCTCTCAATGCTTGTATGATCTTAGAAGAGTGGGTGTCCTTGATAGGCGGCAATCAACTTTGATTGGTTAATAGTTAGAGAATGAATATTATAATAAGAGATGGGCTTATTCTGATGAGGGGCTGGGGGACTCTCATTGCTCAGCCTTGGACAAAGAGACTTATCTCTACCTAGATTACTCCCCACTCTCTCCCAAACCTAAGCTGTCTAGACAAGTGCTGAAATCTACTTCCATTCAGACTTGTCTGACTAAAACACAATGGGCAGGAATTCACCAGTTCACCTAGACTAGAATTTCTTTACATTTTTATCAGATCTGAGTTTTTCTACTTCCATTTTCATTTGGGTGCGTCTTGCCCAATATTTCATCTTATCATCAACCCTGGCCTTTAAAGGCTGGCTGGATAACCTACAGGGCGGTTTTCTGAATGAGGAAACAGGAAGGGGAAAAACTTTAGTCCTAATTCAATAATTGGCAATTAGTATAAGAGAGAAATAATCATTTCTCTCAATTTCATTTTGACCACAAAAGTGCATGTAATATTTCTGCTTTTCCTCATTTTTATGAAGTTTTTGTGTCCTAATACATGGTCATTTTTTGTGAAAGTGCCAAGTACATCTAAGAAATGTGTTTATTTCTTTCCATTCCAATTCTGTATTCTCCAGAGTTCTGTCATATCCAGCTTTTCTTAAATTTTGTTCATCTTTATAACTTCTTTCTTGTTTGTTACATGGCTAGATTTGTCTAGATCTGAACAAATTGAGGTTGCTCACTAGTATGGTTTTACTCTATTTCTTCTTTAACTTTTCCTTCACGAATTTGGATGCTACATCCGTGTCCAATCCATATACATATATTTTGAATATTGATATTAATTCATCATCTATGATACCTTTTAGTAAAATGTAGTTTTTCTGAATGTCCCTTTTATTTAGGTTTTGTTTAAAGTCATGATTGCCACTCCTACCTTCTTTTATTTCAGCTGAAGCATAAAAGATTCTGCCCCAGTCTCTTATTTTAACTCTATGTATATATCTTTCTGTTTCAGGTGTATTTCTTGTAAACACAATATTATATTCTGGTTTCTAATGCATTCTTCTCTCCTCTTCCATTTTATGTGTGAGTTCATCCCATTCACATTCATTATATATGTTATAATTGCTAACTCTGTATTTCCCTCCTTCCTATTTTCTTATACTTATCCTTTTCTTTTTCACCCTGTCCCCTGCTCATGAATCTTTCTTGTTTATTTCCTCCCCATTTTCTCTTATCCTTTTCCCACCTACTTCTGTGTTGCATAACTCTACCCAATTGTGTGTGTTTATTCTTTCCTCCTTGAACCAATTCAGATGAATGTAAAGTTCGAGGGTTGCCTCCTCTCCTTCCCCCTCTTTCTATGTGTAAACTCTTCCTGTCATGTCTCATTTATGTGAGGTAATTTTCCCTTATTCTTCTTCTCCCTTCCTTCTTTCCCAGTGCATTCCTCTTCCCAACACTTCAATTTTCTTTTGAGATTATCTCAATGTGTCATGCCCTCTAATTACATTCATTCTAAGAACTCTACTGATGACAAAGTTCTGAGGAATTATATATATCCTCTTCCCACATATGAATGTAAATAGTTTAACTGTATTTAGTCCCTCGTGATTTCTCATTTTTACCCTTTTGTGCTTCTCTTGAGTCCTGTGTTTGAAAGGCAGATTTTCTATCAACTCTCACCTTTTCATCAGGAATGCTTGAAAGTCCTCTATTTAAATAAGTATCACTTTCTGCGACCTATAGGATTAGATTCAATTTTGCTGAATAGATTATTCTTGGTTGTAATCCTAAAACCATTGCCTTCTGAAATATCATATTCTAAGCTCTCTCTTCTTGTACAATGGTAGCTGCTAAATATTATGTTATCCTGATGGCAGATCTTCAGTATTTGAATTATTTCTTTTTCTTTTCTTTTTTTTTTTGTTAGGCAGTGGGGTTAAATGACTTGCCCAGGGTCACACAGCTAGTAAGTGTTATGTGTCTGAGTCCAGATTTGAATTCAGGTCCTCCTGAATCCAGGGCCAGTGCTCTATCCACTGTACCACCTAGCTGCCCTGAATTATTTCTTTCTAGGTGCTTGCAGTATTTTTTTTTTCTTGACCTGAGACTTCTGTATTTTGGCTATAACATTACTGGAAGTACCTGACTAATTCTTTCCATTTTTACTTTGCCTTCTGGTTTTAAGCTATTTAGGGAAGTTTTCTTTATGATTTCCTGAAATGTGATATCTAGGCTCTTTTTTATTGGTCCATGGCTTTCAGGTAGTCTAATGATTCTTAAATTATCTTCCCTTGATCTATTTTCTGGGTCAGTTGTTTTTCATGTTAGATAGTTCACATTTCCTTCCAAATTTTCAGTCTTTTGATTTTGCTTTACTGCTTGATGTCTCATGAAGTCATTAGCTTCTTTATGGCCAATTCTAATTTTTAAGGAGTTATTTTCTTCAGTGAGGTTTTGTACCTTTCTTACCATTTGACCATTTCTAATTTTTAAGAAATTATTTTCTTCACTAAAATTTTGTACTTCTTTTCACAAAGTTCTTAATTCTCTTTGCATAACTGGCAGAACTCCCATTGTTTTTCCTCTACAATTCTTATTTGGTTTTAAAAATATTTATTTGCTCTTTTAAAAATCATTTTCTTTAACTCTTCTAAGAATTCTTGTTGGGCTTGTATTCAGTCTGTTGTTTTTGAGGCTTTCCTTGTAGATGTTTTCAAGCTATTGTCTTCTGGGTTGTATCTTGATTACTCTCATTTCTTTACCTAAATTTTCCTTTGCCTCTATTATTTGATTTTTTTTGTTCTTTTGCTTTTTGGTGAGGCAGTTGAGGTTAAGTGACTTGCCCCCAGGGTCACACAGCTAGTAAGTATCATGTGTCTGAGGCTGGATATGAACTCAAGTCGTCCTGACTCCAAGGCCAGAGCTCTATTTGCTGTGCCAGCTATCTTGAGCTTACCATACGTAGTAGCAATGTAGAGTTGGGTTCTCTTTTTTGTTCATGTTTTCTGCTTACTTCTAGTCTTTGGACCTTATATTCATGTTGATCTCTGCTCACTTCTGATGGTGGAGGTGAGGAATATAAGGCTTGTTCAATTTCTTTTTATGAAGTTCATTAAATAGTTCTCTTAATCTGAACATTTTATATTTTTGTACATATCATGCATTTAATTTAGCTGATCAGTTTTATTGTCATGTAATTTGCCAAAATAGTTCCTTATAATTTACTTTTCCTGTGAACTTTTAAAATTTTTGATATTGGTCATTTCGTTTTCAGGTTTTTTTTTTAAATCAAATTAGTGAATGTTTTAATTTATTTCATTTATTTGTTCAAAATAATAGCTCCTAGTTTTATTAATTCAATGGACATTTTGCTTTCAATTTTATCTTGTTTTTCAGGATTTTTATTTTTCTCTTTAAATGGGATTTTTTAGTTTTAGTGGTCAAGTCCACTAATAGGCCTTAACAAGCAAGTGTTGGCAGGTGAATGATTCCGCGTTGTTGGGAGGTCCAGCATGCATTAGCAGGAATACGTGCATGTAATGACTTGTATACAATACCATGCTATATGGTTACATGATGCAATTTTGCGTCATCAAAATCTCAGTGCAGGTAAAACCCACAAATTTACAATAAATTATTGAATTTTAAGGTACATCATTTAAAAATACTTTTTTGAAATGACGCAAATAAAAAAAACATTAAAGGGTTAAAGAAAGTCATTTTCAGGGAGGGTGCTGAGTAATTTTTTTTTTCTTTTTGAAAAGAGGGCAGTAGGCCAAATAAGTTTGGGAACTTCTGCTA